AACTCTCACCTAGTCCTTGGTGCCTTCTGTTCAGTTTCTTACTTTTTTTTTTTTTGACTCAGCTAAGCGCTCTTGTGCCATAGGGAATTGGTCACTTCTCTGGGTTACCACCCTAGGCAGTTGGCCCTGGGACAGTGCATCACATAGAAAGTGAATGAATGAAACTGCATGAATTCATTCTTTTTTTTTTTTTTTTTGCCTGTCCTGGAGCTTCAACTCAGGGCCTGGGCACTGTCCTTGAGCCTCTCTATGCTCAAGGCTAGTGTTCTACCACTTGCCAAAGCACCACTTCCACTGTTTATATAGTATTTTTCTGTTTATATAGTACTGAGGAATCAAACCCAGGGCTTCATGCATGCTAGACAAGTACTCTACCACTAAGCCACATTCCCAGCCATGAATTTATTCTAACTGTGCAACTGTAGCTCTCCCCGGACAGCAGAAGCAGTGCAGGAGCTCCAGGTCACCTCCTCTTGTGGAGCTGTCCCTATGTCCTCACTATCACCACCAGTCTCCCACTTGAGTTCTTTGCAACAGTGGGTCTTGAGGGGTATCCATGCCCTCCTTGCTTCTGTCCTCCATCCCACATATTTTAATAGGTCTACCACCCAGGTATTTGCTACGCAGCCCCATAGAACCTCTGTCAGCAATATGCTTTGCTGTGTCTGCCCATTTACTTCTTATGCAGATGGAGAACTTTCCTATGCGAGGTGCTAGACCCAGAGCCGCAAGGCTGTGTCTGCACACAGGACAGGTTGGACAGTCTCACTCCACCTTGTGGAGCTCATAGCCTACATAAGCAGCAGGCCAGTTGGCATGCAATCGAAATGGGATTTTCTGAGCACTGTCTGCAGAAAAGTACAGTAACAGCTGAGAGCAAAAAGTGCACCATCTAACTCCAGGCATAGGAGGTTGGCACAGGTTCTGCAGTAGGTGGCGGAAAGGAGGCTGCATGGTGAGAATGACAACCTAAAGCAGCAGGAGAGTGAGCCAGGGGAAGAGACATCATGTGTCTCCCAAAAGCATTGGGGACTTGGTGAGGAGTGTCTAAAAAAGGTGTCTGCAGTTTCCTGAAAAGCTATTTTATGTGCTGTTATTTCTGTGTGTGGCAGAACTTCCTTCCTACACTCCAAAAACAATAACAACAGGACAGGACTGGTGTAGAAACAAGGGTGAAAATCCAGGTATCCTCCTTCCTTTTTGTCAGATACTAAAGAAATTTGCAAAAAAAAAGGGAAAATAATGCCATTTTCTAATTCTTTTTCTGGTTTGGAAATCGTGATTGTTTTTATTCAAAAATAATTTGTGTGGGGCTGGGAAGGTGACTCAGTGGTAGAGCGCTTGCCTTGCATGCCTGAGGCCCTGGGTTCGATTCCTCAGTACCACATAAGCAAAAAGAAAAAGCTGGAAGTGGCGCTGTGGCTCAGGTGGTAGAGCACTAGCCTTGAGCTGAAGAGCTGAGGGACAGCACCCAGGCCCAGAGTTCAGGCCCCACAACCGGACCCCCCCCCAAAAAATAATAATAATGTGTGTGTGATTATTAGTCAATTAGTAAGTATGTTTTAACTCAACACAAAGACAACAGAGAGCCATTGAAGGGTTTTTACATCAAGGAGGGATATGACACTGGTGTAAACCAGGGCAGTGAGAGAGTGAAGACAGATGCATTCAGAAGATGCATGAGCTCTTTACAGGGTGGAGCCTGCCAATCTGGCTGTGCAGTGGATGGATGAGAATTGCTGCCCGGTCCTGCAGAAACAGAGAAAGAAATTGGATTGACGGTGACTTTGGTTCGGGACATGTTCCATCTTAGATGTCAGGGACATTTAAACAGAAACGTATCTATGGATAGTTGATTCTGAGGCTCTGAGACACAGTGTCTGGACTTAGGAATCTTCACTGCACTCCAGTGACTATATAGCCCTGGGAATGAGTAGACACCTACAGATGGAAATATGGGAAGAAAGAAAAAATACTCCTGAAATCGACAAGTGTTTGAAGGATGTGTAGAGAGAGTGGGGGGGGGGGATTGTGAGGATACTGAAAGGGAGGCGTAGCTACAGGAAGACCAAGAAACTGAGATGTCACCAAAACCCAGAGAAGAGTTGGCATGTGTCAGCAGGACACAGAGCCGCCTCAGGACAGAGACAGAGCCGAGCAGGAAGTACTGTGGCTAACAGAGGACTTTATTGGAAACTTATAAGAAAAAGAATAACTGCTTAAGGATTAGAGTACTAGACTGTGAGCTTCTAGAGTCAAGAATGTTGTTTGTTCTTTCTAGCTTCATTGCTTATAGGATTACAGGTACATTTATAGACACTTGGAGATTTTGTTGATTCTGTTGATTTTATTTCTATTGATGCAGTTGATCTAGTCTCTTTGTGGGTTTGAATGACAGTGTAGACCTTTATGATCTTATATGGTCTGGGTAAGAGCTTCTGTATCATGGTGACATAAATGGGCTCAGATATTGATCCTCTGAGCCCTTAGGGAAGCTAGAAAAGCCTGAAGCTGTTTGGCTGGCTTTAAGCTTTACTTAGCTAGCCTTGTGTGGCATGCAAATCTATTTCTTCTGTGTGTGCCATGAGGTTAAACTTACTGGAAAGCCTTGTTCTCTAGAGGGTTGAGAAGTCTTTGGTTCCACCTCTTCTCTGCACAAGCATGATTACATAGCCGTGTCCCTCTTGGTTGCTGACCCCACAACCTCCCAGAGAATCTTGTAGTGCAAAATTATGTCTGTAAGAGGCTCTACATTTGGACTTTACATTTCACAGTCTGCCTGCAGACTGACAAAGACTTTCTGAGAATCAAAGATTCATAATAAACGATGTATTTTCCCCAATGGCTATTTTTTTTAAAATAAAGCTATTGTGCTATGGGATGCCATTTTAATTCTACAATCATTCTGCACTTAACTCTTAAAGCCCACCAAGTCAAGTACATGCAAGTCACTTGGGAAAAGTTGCAGCCTCCAAGATTCTATAGTCTGCCTGGGAAAATTCTTAAGAAACTGGGAACATAAAAGTGATGAGAATAGTAGCCAGTATGAAACTAGCTTTGAACTGTTTTTAGGCTCTGTTTTAAATGTTTTGTGTGTATTAACTCAGTTACTTCTTTGTATCCTTGTGAAGTAAATAGTTATTATTTCCATTTTACAAGTGAGAAAACTGAAAATCAGAGAAGTTAAAATTAAAAATACCTGTGTTCTTCTCCATTATTAAAATTGTTCTCCTTCTCTACAGTTTGGCTCAAGCCCCATATCCTTTCTGGAGTTTTCCCCTGTGTAAGGCCCAATTGAAACTTATCTAGCCCTTTGAACATATGCCTCATCACTTCCCTCTTTTTTTGTTGTTTGTTTGTTTTTTGGTCAGTCACAGGGCTTGAACTCAGGGCTTGGGCACTGTTCCTGAGCTATTTGGCTCAAGGCTCTACCACTTTGAGCCACAGCTCCACCTCCAGTGGTTAATTGGAGGTAAGAGTTTCAAGGTCTTTCCTGCCTAAGCTGGCTTCGAACCTCAGTCCTCAGATCTCAACCTCCTGAGTAGCTAGGATTACAGGTGTGAGCCATTAGTGCCCAGCCCATCATTTCCCTCTTAATTATCTGCTGCTTTGAGTCGTGCTGCCTTTTCTGTTTCTGGGTATCTTGACTCACCATCAGAGATGGTGAACTCTACTTATGCGAGACCATGTGCTTCCCCTTCCCCTCAATGGAGCTGCAAATGCCCAGCAAGGCCCAGGGAGCTCGTGTGCCTAGCTTCCCCATTCAGCAGCCGCCCAAAGCCTAGAGGCCTGGGCTGTCTATTCCATGCAGCTTCTTTTTGATGAGCTCTAGAAACTTGCTCTCCTCCTCAGCTGGAAAAGTGTATTCTGAATTTTTACAAAAATAAACAAAACAAAAAACACATTTCATCTGAAGATCTCCATAACAGCAAATATTTTATAAAATGTCTGCTTAAAATGCAAGCTGTTTCCTTCCTCCTTTTTAAAAGCTGTGGTTGCTGCTTTTGAAGAAGACAAGGTGAAGGAAATGTTTCCTGTTTGTAGAGGCTCATATTTCACCCAACACAAAGAGTAAATTGGTGTCTGAACACCCTAGAGCCTAGAGCTTCTGCTTTTTAAGTACTTTGCTCCTACACAGGAGGAGAGAGATTCAATTGGCTTTTGTTTACATACTCTTTCACTGTCTTTTAAGAAATGAGACAATGCAGGTGCAACTAAATGCTTTTCTCTCCCGCTGCTGGTCGCTGTGTGTCACGAGCAATGCCTTTCAGTATTTGTGTCTTTACTGCAAATGAGTATCAAGTACAGATCTCCATGGCTGGATCTGGGCCATTCATTGTTTTTCATGTGCTTTGTATGACATTTAGCCACATCCTGAATATCTACCCACTAGACACCAACAATTCCACCATCCTGTGTCTGCTTTCCCTATCCCACATGACAACCATCAGTGTCTGTGCACGTTGCCGAATACCACTGGTTGGGGAGAAATGTTGCCCATGTTATAGATCCACAAAAAATGTTAATGTAATGTCCTATTTTTCTAAGGCTTTAAATTTTTACATATATGTGTGTATATAAAATTATGTAATAGTTTACATATAAATCATATGAATTCAAGATATAACTGTATAGATTGTGTGTGTGTGTGAGTGTGAGTGTATGTGGTATGTTACCAAGGCCTGAATTCAAGCCCTCATACTTGATCATCCTGCTTGATGTTCTACCACTTATGCCATGCCACTGGCCCTACTTTAGGCTAGTTATTTTGGTGATGGAGTTTGAAGGACTTTTCTGCTCAAGCTGAACCTTGATTCTCCAGATAATCAGCCTTCTGAGTAGCTAGGATTACAGGCAAGAGTCACTAGAGTCACTAGAGTCACTAGAGCTTAGCTACCTATTTTCCTGTGCATACAGGAAAATACAAGAGCAAACTCTTCTAGCATCGCCACAGCTCTGTGCCTTCTCTGTCTCATCATTCTTTGTTGCTCTCTTTTTAGGGAGGAATGATCAATTGGAATCGTCTTTTCCCTCCTTTACGTCAGCGACGAAACATAAACTATCAGGATGGTCGGCAGTCTGAACAGCAAGCATCCCCTCCTCCAGAGGTTTCTGAGGAACAGGTAACAAGTAACACCTGCTAATCAGCCCAAATCCGTGTTTCCAACTTAAAGCAGTATGGGGCTGGCAAGAAATCAAAGCTTGATTCAGAAAGAAATCAAGCATGCCAATCCAAAGATTTTGATAGCATTAAGTTGCCACCAGTGATAGCAACTTTGGCCCTTTATTAGCTGCTAGGGTTCTTAAGGTTTGAGGAAGGCTCAAGTGGGTAGGTGGATACATTGTGAGGACATCTGTCCATCATCCATAACACACATACATACACATGCAAACATATATACAAGAAACAAGGAAGTTGGTTCCCTACAAAGGGCAGTAGACAAGTGGAAGGAAAACTGAAAATAAGTAATTTTTTTTCAAATGCTTAACAATCACACTGAAGAGGAAGAAAATAATTTTCATAACTTTTGAACATAGTAGGTCCTCAGTCTAAACTTTTAAAAACTGCAAAGAAATCTTGGGCTTTTCTTCATAGGTTATTTTTTATAATGATATGAGACTAGCAATTCTAAAGTGATGTCATGTGTATTTAATAACTCTGACAAATGAGAAAATGATACTAAACTAAAAGAACAGTTATAGATGGAATGTATATAAAAACCACAATATATGAGTGTGAAACTCCAGGATTTGGTATTGACAGTAGTGATTGGGAACGAGAGTCCTCTTGCTTAGCGATGAAGGCCATGCTGTGTACATGGTCTCTCAGAAGCCTTGGGAGCATCCTGAGCTATGAGTTCACAGGTGTACATAGACACAGAAACAGAAAACTGTGTGACAGAATAACAATTTCTAGGCCTGGATGAAAAGTAAGCATTACTTTGGTATTATTCTGGAAACTCTTAAGTTTAAAATCATTTCAAACTAGAAAACCTTTTCATATCTCTAAAAGTATGTTCAGAACACTGCAATGATGATGCTTGGAAATTGCTTTCTGCCTATTTTGGTTTTTCTCAGCCACCAAAACAAAGTTCAGCAATCATAGCTGGTCCGATAATCCTGCCCACTTCCTCCCTCTTCCTTGTCTCCCGAGTAAACAAGCAACAGTCAGACACATGGCATCGGGCCTCTGCAGGGAAACTATGTCCTTGAACTTTCTGGAACTCAGAGATTTCCCTGGTCTGGGTTCCAATATGCTGCCCCCAGGTTAGGGCATGGCAAATGCTTTTGAGAAAAACCAGGTGTGTGTGCTGATGGCATCTGTTGATTCAGTCCCACCCAGCGGCCTCTCAGCTCACCCGGCTCCCAACAGCTCTGGACTGGGGCGCGGCCAGGCAGTTCTCTCCTCTTCCTCAGAGAACCCCTAGACAGATGTCTTCCCAGAGATGAGGACGAACGGCCCCATAACTTAGCATTTAAAAAGTAAGATAATAGTCTCCAATCCACATGGAAAGAAATAAGAAAATTCAGTGATAGTACTGTGAACTTGATACCACAGTGAGTCATGTCTTCACGCGGCAGCCGTTAACGGTGTGAGGTGTTTACAGGTGAGATACTTCTCGGCTTTAGCACCTTGGGGGAATGAAATATTGAAAAGAGAGAGCAAGAAGAATGTATGCAATAGAAGTTTGTAAGGTTGGTTTTTTTATGAGTCATTTTCCTTAAACCTCACAGAATGACACCTGTGATGTTAACATGTCACCGTGAGTTTAAGGCAGTGTTCAGTTCTTCCTTGCTTTATGTTGTGAGAAAAATCAAATTTATGAGCGATGGGGACTTTTTTTCTTAGTCACTAATTTTCCCTTGATTCTTCTGTTCTTAACAATGGCAGATTCAGACCATGTGGCATCAGGGCCCAGGCTTCTCATTGGCAGTGTCTGTGATGCCCGCTCTCGGCATTTTTATGGCAGCTGCTGCAGGATTCAGAAATAGAAAAGATGTTCTTGCTCTCTCTGTATTTACAATGAAGTATGTAAAGTATGATCTCTTTGTTAGTTTGTTCATGCTAGTCACTATCTAAATATTATTAATAACATGTGAAGATCATTTTAGTAATTTTTATCATTAGTTTTTCAATTAAATATCGGCATTTTCTTTAAGTGTTAGAGAGGTTTTTTGTCCATCCTGAGAGTTGCATGCTAACAACCTACACTACCACTGAGTCACACACCTGCCCTCAGAGTCCTATAATTTCAGTACATTAAAGAAACTTAGTCAGGTGCCGGTGGCTCACACTTATAATCCTAGCTTCCCAGGAGGCTGAGATCTGAGGATCATGGTTCAAAGCCAGCCCAGGCAGGAAAGTCTGGGAGACTCTCATCTCTAATTAACCACCAGAAAATGGAAGTGGCCCCGTGGCTCAAGTAGTAGAGCCTTTAGTTGAAGAGCTCAGGGACAGCACCCAAGCCTGAGTTCAAGCCCCACAACTGGGAAAAAACAAAACAAAACAAACTTAGCAGTTTTCTAAACCAAAAGAAATAAAAGAAACTTAGCAATTTTCTAAACCCAGAGAAACAGAAACACTTATTTGAGTTTTTTTAGTGTTTTGGATTTTTTCCCTGTAAATGTATACTTGAAAATTTTTTAGAGTTCTACAGAACAATAATAATGAACAAATCATGGGAAATACAATCATGGCTAGAGTAATGGGTGTAATCTTACTAGTTATCTTACTAGTTTAACCCACAGCCATAGACACTGGCCTCCTATTTTTCAGTAAGTAGACTGACAGCATCTCTGTCCATTCATCAGCCATTAGAGGTGCTGTCCCAGCCCCACAGAACATGCCTAAAAGGCAGCTAGGGCATTGCTGGTGAATACTAAGCCATTCTTATGCTCCACACTGTCTAGATCAACAGAAAACACAGGTTAGCAGAAAACAAAAGACTAGTTATCTCATGCCTTCTTTATGTAAGTATACAAAGAGGAACATAAGAAAAACGCAGGCATACATGGTGGCTCTGGCCTCTAATCCCAGTACTTGGGAGGCTGAAGCAGTAGGTTCTAGACTTTTACGCCAGCCTGGGCTACATATCAAGATCCTGCCTCATGAAGAGGGAGAGGAGGAGACAAGGAAGAGAAGGAAGGGGAGAGAAGAAAGGAGGGGAAGGGAAAGGAGTCTCAGAAGTTCATGTCAATTTGCAGAACTGTCCAGTATTCTATGGGGTAGGAGAGGCCAAGATTAATGAGATAAAGTACGTGGTGATGAGGCCATAAAGGATTCTGGACCGGCTCAGCCAGAGGCAAGGCTCTTAAGACCCCAAGAAGGCTTGGCTTGTCCCTGTTCTGTTCGGAATTGCACCCCAAGATAAAGCCCACTGAACCTGGCATGGCTGTTGGGCATTTGGTGTACATACTGGATGAGCTGTGCAAAAACAAGGGATGGTTAGATGCACCAGGCAACAGCAGGACAACATAGCTGCTCGGCAGGGACAGGAAAGAGTCACCAACTCGAGGCCCGAAAGAAAGTTGATGACACATGGGATCCCACAAAAGCTGCCTGGGGAATGGTGGAAGAGGAAGACGACATGGAGGAAGAAGCAAATAAAAAACCTTCCATGTCAAAAACAAAAAGAAGGAATATGCAAATAACTAAGGGTTATCTAGTAAATCAGATGTGCCCAAATGTCTACTAACTTGCAAAGAACTATGCCCATTCTTTATTCCATTTCTTTTTCTTTTTATTTCTAGTTGTTTTTGTACTAAACCCATACTCAAAATTAACAAATGAAATTCTGACAGATTTGCTTTTGTTTCATAAACACAAGGGTTAAGAATGAGCATGTTTGCCCTTGATCACTCCCCAAGCTTAGAAAATGAGCCTTCCTGTGAAGCCAGACAAAGAAGCTTGGATTTAACACAAAGATGATGCACTTCCACTTCCTCTCTTTCCTTGCAGGTTTTCCTTCCTTTTAGTCAGCCACCAGTTAGCAACCGCCTTCTCTACGTGAGGCCCAACACTCTGCTAAGTTCTCAAAATACAAGGTAGATAAGGCAGAATCGCTTATTGTGCGACTGCAGCTCCTAGTAGGCCTAGGAACAGGGTATGGCCCTTTCTGTCCACCCCTCCATTTTGTCAGCTGCTTTTGGTTTGGAGCCCTCTCTCATCTAAGGCAATTGCGAAAAAGACTAGAGTCTCTGGAGTCAACCAACTCCAGACTCCACCTTGTTATGAAAAGTGGAAAAGTACATGCTCAGTACAAGCAGACTCTGAAGATGATCAGACAGGGATATTGGTCATCCATGCCAACAACTAGTATCCATCACTACAGTGGCAACAATATTGTTCTGGGCACAGCAGGTGGGAATACTACAGAGTATACAGACTGGCTCTTGTTGATCCAGGTGATTCTCATGTCATTAGAAGCATACCAGAACAAACTGGAGAAAAGTAAACAGTGCATAGTTTTTCTTTAATAAAACTTGCCAGAACTCGTTTAAGAACAACAAGAAAAGAAACAGGAATGAGAAGGTGCACATGTGTTGAAATAGTGCTGTGCAGGTGGAGGAGTGAGCAGCCTCTGTGGAGGAGGGCAGTGACAGGTGTGAGGCGCCGTGGAGAGTGGCCAACTGGGTAGGACACCACTGGGGGAGAAGCTGTGTGCCAAGGAGTCAGGACTGGATCACCAGAAACCTGACATGCATGCATGGACTCTGCTGCTCAGCTCCAGGCTCCGAGAACCATGGCAGGATTTTAAACAGGAAATGACATCATTTGGCCTTGACATGGAGGGACCACAGATGTGATTTCTTTTGTTCTTGCCCAGAAAACATGGTGTGTGCTTGGAAACCCTGACCCAATCAGTGCTTTCATAACATGTTTATAAACATGCGACAGGCCATGTGGAGACCATTTGTGCCCTGTGAGAATGATTTAAGCCTTCAAGATACTTCTAATCTCAGCTGATAACTAGCAAAACATATTTAGTATTCAAGAATCTACACTTTGAAGACCTTGTCTTAAAAGGCTAGCATAAGCTAGCCTGAAACACAAGCTCCTCCTTAGGCAGGCTACTGGTGGATCACACCTGTAATCACATTTCAAGGCCAACCTAATAAAAAA